TGCTCAGATGCCAAGGAGCTCAGAAAGTAACTGACTGTGACTAGTAATAGTTAGATACATAGAGATTAGAAACACATATGCATCTTAGTGTCAATTGTATTAAAAGTGAATTTTCTGTATGAAACTGTGTATTTTAATAATGAAATGGAGATCTTTTTCAAAGTTTAAAACCTCATTTAATTTTATGTCTTATAGGGTTTATACAGAGTACAATATTGTATAACTGTATTAATTCAACTGTAAACCTAAAAATTTATAGCCAATTTTGAAAGAGAAGCATCTTAGCTCTGGAAATTGTTATTGAATATGTCAATGCTGTTGTAATGAAATGCCTCTTCTAATTATATGGTTACTAAATAAATAATTAAAAAAATTTTTTTTAAAGTGAGCTTCTAGTGATTGGTAGGAGAATCACTTATGTAGAGACAGAGTCTCAATGTGATAAGCCTCTAAAAAGAGCCTTGGGGTGGGCATGGTAGCACAGGCCCATAATCCCAGCACCCAGAAAGCTAAGGCAGGAAGATTGTAAATTCAAGGCCAGCTTGGGCTACAGATCCTGTCTCAAAACAAAACAACAAAAACAACTAAAAGCCTGGGTGTGGCTCTGTGGTAGAGTACTTGCCTACCATGTACAAGGCCTGCAGCTAATACCCAGCTCCAGCAATGTCCAAGGGCCATACTTGAAAGATCAGCTTTTCCTTCTTTGCTTTATGCTTCTAACACTGTTTCACTCTCTCACTAAACCACAGCCTCAACAAAACTTTTACTTTATTAATTTTCAGCATAAGAAATACCCCTACCTCAAGTACTTTTAGTTCCTCGTTTCTTCTATTTACAAAGGTTGAAGAAGAATATCCTTTCTTTGAGGAAGTTGCTTACTTCCTGTGGTCAGGGAAATGCTTTGAATTTGTCCTGTGACTGACCTCTGGCTTCTGTTGGTATAGATCTATTCCTGGATAGAAGTTATAATGGAACAGTATCCTCATATGCTCCAAAAAATCCACATTGGGTCATCCTATGAGAAGCGCCCTCTTTATGTTCTAAAGGTATGTAAGAAGAGTCACTTATCTTTCAACTTGAGGGCAAAGATTAACTCTCCAATGGTGTTTGTTACCATTTAGATCTGCTTTTCTTTGAGCTCTGAAAGTATTTTTGTTTCAAGTGTTCCTTAGCATTAATATTCAGCCGTTTAGGGATAAATTACCTTTAAATCTTTTCCTTTAGTAAAATGAGATTATGATGTAAATGATAATCTACTACTTCCTCAGATTGATGGTGCAGGTTGGGAGGAAGCCAGAGACAGACACAGAGATAGAGACAAAGAAATGTTCCTGGACGAACAGTAGTGTAGCATTTGAAACCAAAGAAGGAGCTGAACCATCCAAGCTGGGAAGGACAGAGACTAGGGCAACGATGTAGCTCTGTGCAGTGGGGCTTCCACTTTGGTCACCACTCGTGTGGTTATTTCCTTCCAGTAACAGGATCTCATGGGAGAGGATCTGATCAACCTACAGAAACTTGGAAAGGGTATCTTCTTCAAATAAACTGTCCTTCAAAAATGTCAGTTCTAGAGAAACTGTAGGAGTCAGGACCATGATAATATTTGCCTGTTATACTTTGTAATTCTATAGCTTTATTTTCTACTACATCTCCCCCTTAAGAAATTAAAAAGAATTTTTTTTACATTCTCTGAAAGAATGTAATTAACAGAAAAACACATTTGATCTAGTAGCATAGATTTGATATGTAATCATGATACATAAGCATTTTCAGTCACTCAAAGACAAGACTTTGAGTCAGGACATCTCAGTTTTAATCTGTCCCTGAAAACAGCTTATAGTACAGATTCAATGCAGACGTGTGACATGTTGGGTTCCTTTAGTGGTTGAGCTGGTTAATCAGATTAGTTCCATGTGATCAATCGTGGCATGGCCCCTCATGACACCTAGTTCAGCCTTGGTATAAGCCCTTCTTTCAGCTGAATGCCAGAGGCTGAGTGTGTATGTTGGGAAATTACGAGTCCTAGTTGTGTTAAGTCCTACTCTTTCTTAGCCAAGGATGTGCACATAATGCAAGTCTCCGGAGCTCCATGATATCGCTATTGTTGGAACCAGCCATTGTAAAAAGTTCAAGTAAGTAAAAATAATGAATGATAAAAAGATCAAGTAAGAGAACTACCCTGGAAAACTGAGGATTTTCTTGACACTGAGAGGATGGAATCACCGACATGTATTTGACTAGATAATCTAATCATTAGTGGCCATTTTGCTTTCTCCCTTATTTGTATATTGCTAACTGCAGGTTAGACAAAGAAATCTTCCTGGAATGGTATAGATGCTCATATTTAACTCACTTTTTTTCTTGTTTTGACTACTTTATATATTTGTTCAATTTTATAATTCTCTTTCCTCTCCATACTCTACAATTGTTTTGTAACTAATTTTTTAAATCAAATAAATTATGATTGATTTTGGAAGTGTTCTTGAGAATTTTTATTGAAAATTCTATACATGCATATAATGTGTTTTGATCAAATCTACCCTTCCCTCCTCTTTGACTCATCCTCACCCCCCCAACCACTTTCCCTCCCAACTTCATGTGCTCTCTTTCTTTTTCAAAAACTCCACTGGGTTCACTTGGTGCTGCCTATATGTACATGGGTGTAGGACCATCAGCTGGAGAATGGGTAAGCCTTTCAGGGGCTGTATCCCTAAAGAAAACTTACTCTACATTCCCCAGAAGCCATCAATTGCCAAAATGGTCCAGGGTGGAACTTCATGAACTTCTTCCTAGTTCATACTGGGATTTTGGTTGGCTTGATCTTTAGAATTCTTCTAAAGATACCAAGGGCTGTCATTGAGTAAAAGCTGAGAATTCTTATTCTACAGTGCTAGTATGTTGTGCTAGCCCAATAGTCTGTAAATCAGCTACAAGCCTCTGTTTCTTAATCTGTTGATATCAGTTCTGTGAATCCTGTATGATGTGTACACCCTTTTTGTGTGACATGGAGAAATAGTGTGTACATAAAAAGTGTGCACTCTAGCCGGGCGTGGTAGCACATGCCTTTAATCCCAGCACTCAGGAGGCAGAGTAGGCAGATCTCTGTGAGTTCAAGGCCAGCCTGGTCTACATAGTGAGTTCCAGGACAGCTGGGGCTACAGGGAGACCCTGTCTCAAAAAGACCAAAAAAAAAAAGTGTGCACTCTAGGAACAATTTGAGGGAGTTTGTGTTCCTGACAACTTCATCCTCTCTGCAGACAGCTGCCCAGCAGCATACACCCTTTACCTCTGAGGAATGAATACACCCAAAACAACAGTTCTGAGGTCTCCACTCTGTACTGCCACTTGCAGCTCCATGTACCTAATTCACACAAGCACTGTACATAAGCAACTGCTCCTTAATCTCACTAGCTTTTGAATTTACTTCAAGAATTTGCAAAGGAATATGGAGACCAATGTGTGTGCTGTAGATATGTTGAAAGAATTAAATGAAAGTCATCCTGGTACATATTGTTGTATTTGTTCTTTGGTTTTCGTTGTTCAGGTTTCTGGAAAGGAACAAACAGCCAGAAATGCCATATGGATTGACTGTGGGATCCATGCCAGAGAATGGATCTCTCCTGCTTTCTGCTTGTGGTTCATCGGCTATGTGAGTATTACATCCCTTAGGCCAGCCTTTCTCCAAATGGGATCCAAGAGCACCTGAGTCAGATCAATTGGACTACAATTAAATTGCATTTTCCATGTCACATGCTGGAATTCTTGATTCAAACTCTAAAAGTGAGGTTTAGAAAGCTGCAGTGTTCACACTGGATAGTAATTAAGAAATAATATACTATTATGTAATGTGCCTCTGAAGGAGAAGAAATATATGAATCAGTTACCTGTTTGGTCTTAATTTGTTATTATTGCTGTCATCATTTTGGTTTGAATTAACTGGACATTTTTTTGCCACATTCTGCCCTTGGAAACCGAACAGGAAGTACACACAGAGCAGATATTGCTTTTTTCATATGTCATAATAATTTTGTTCCTGAAGAAGGTATTGGTTTAAAAAAAAGCCACATATAAGAGAAATAATATGCCACAAAAATAATATGTAGGAAGACTATAAACCTCCATAATGAATAAAAGCAGTACAGGTTATGCTTCAGATCCTATGGGCATACATGTCATGAACACTGGTTCATACAGAAACTTCCACTGGAAAAGTGACTCAAATGTGTGGCCTTCTGATAGTGCTTGTTGTAGTCTTTGTATTCACAAATATACAGTAACAACAAATACGTGAGTTAGGAAATTAAAGACTGCCACTTAGAGCTCTCCTAACAAACGAAGTATAACAAAGGTAAAACCATGTCTGCCTGCACTGGGTCCTGACAAATGAACATTCCTAGCCGCCCTCACTTGCTTACCAGTTTCTTCTCTCCAGTAATGTGAGTTTCATGTGACACTATTCCAGGGTATTTCATAGGCATGGGCATTGCATGCACATGGTGTACCTAACATTCATGCATGCAAAACACTCACATACGTACATACATGCATACATAAATCATAAAATCAGTAGGCTCAAAGGTGAATTGAAATCTTAGCTCTCACTCTCTTCAGTCCTTCAACAAATGTTACAAAAACCATACTAAGTAATAATAGCATACTCTGGGAAGCCCAGGGCCAGGCATGCCTCTCTTTCTCATTCACATTTGTGATCCCTTCTATTTCTGTGAAGACAGGAGCTGAGACTGGTTTGTTCAGGTCTGCTTTGCAATAGCTGAGACCCAGCTCAGAATCTGGCACACTGTAGGAGCACAATAACTGTACCAATCATCATGCCTTGCTCAGTGCTTTCTCTACCAACTGGTTCTCACTGCCAACTTCCCTCTGAAACTACTCTGGAGAACTCTCCTTCTACTGCATGCAGACATGATCCCTCCACCCTCCCTGTTCTCCCTGCTTCTCACCTTAGCTGGTGTGAAAGACAAGGCCTCACAGCAGCTCCATCAAGCACATCACCATGTGTCAAGAAGCCTGCAAGACGGAGGGGATCAGTATCCCCCATCCCTATACTGCCATCTCTGTCTCTCTCTTTCTCAAATTTCATAATCTGATCACTTCATGTTCACCTTTTCTGCTTAGTTTCATCCGCTGGTCTCCAGACCAATCTCCTGGAAATTCATTGCTGGTTCCTTATTTCCTCAGCAGCCCTTTCCATTATTCTGACTGAAGTTAAAGCATATGTGTGAGATCCATTCACCAGCAGGATTCTCACCTCCGTATCTCTGCATTACTTAGTCACACGCTAACTCTGACTGAGTGGGTCCTCTGAACATCAGATGTCGTGTTCCCCTTCCATCTACAGCACAGCTGTAGACAGGGACAAGGAAGAAGCCACTTAATCTGATTCTTCATTTCCTCTTCTACTTCTCTCATTTCTTATAGCTGTTCTACACAGTATTTAAAACTACTGAATTTCTTGAGTTAAATATATCTCTTTCTTTCTAATTTATCACATATTCCCAGGAATCAATTCTCTCTCTCTCTCTCTCTCTCTCTCTCTCTCTCTCTCTCTCTCTCATACATACATACATATGTATCATATATATGTATCTCGCTCTCGCTCTCTCGCTCTCTCATTGCTCTCTCGCTCACTCTCACCCTCTCTCACTCTCTTTTGCTTTCTCTCATCAGACCTCTCACCTGAATCCTCAAGTTCCTGTCCGTTGACTTGACCTATAGCAGTTTCAATCCCAATGAACTCTCCTCAGCTTATCTTGTACATCCTACACTATTTACTGCAGTAGCAGTAACACTGAATTACTGTACTTCCTTTTCTAACTGTAGGTGGTTTTGTTGCTGTTTGTTTGTTCTTGGTTTTGTTGCTCCCATAACTCAGAGTATGATATAATCCCTTAATCAGTGTCCCACATCTTGTGACTTTTGAAATTTAGATTACTAATTTGGCTTTAGGTTGAAGTGTCAACATGGATCCAGTGATGCCTAAATAGTACCTGTTTATGGACTAAATATGTCATTATTATTGACTAAGTTCTGAATTAGCCACATATGTAGAGACCGAGAAAAGACTCCTTCCTCTATTCCTAGTAATGATTGAGTGTGTTTATTTTGATTTTTTATTATGAGTGTGTTTATTATGAAACACAGTGTCTAATATGCTTTAATGCACTATTTTATTCTCTGTAAGATGGTTATTGGCTAATGCAGTGGTAGTTCCTATTTAGGATCACATTAAAAAGAAAGATTCAGTGCACTCAAGTGAAATTAGTTGAGTCTTCGTCTGTAACAGGCCTATGGACAGGAATCAGCTTGGCCTGATTTCCCCTCTCTAGGCACGATGTCCTCCTCTTTCTTCTTTCCCTTTAGTAGCAGCACTGTGATTTCACTTCTGTTACTTGCCTCTTGGTAAATCATACTCCCAACCAAAGACAAATGGTATCCACCAGTCTTTTTAGAATTCTTTTTTATAATAAATAAATTTTTATTTTATGTGTGTGAGTGTATTGCCTGCATATATGTGAGTGCACCCATGTTGTGCATTGCCTGCAGAGATCAGAAGAGGGCATCGGATACCCAGGAATTGGAGTAATGGTGATTGTTAACTTCCATGTGGGTTCTGGGACTCGAACCCCAGTCCTCTGTAAGAACAGCCAGTGCTCTTAACCACTGAACCATCTCTTCAGCCCTTATTTATTTATTTATTTATTTACTTACTTATTGATTGATTGATTGATTGATTGATTGATTGATTGTCTGCATGAGTGTTTTGCCTGCATGTAAGTGCTCCCATGTTGTGGAATGCCCACAGATGCCAGAAGAGGGCATGTCGGTGCTGGGATCCAAACCTGGGTCTCTGCAAGAGCAGCCAGTGCTCTTAACCACTAAGCCACCTCTCCAGAGCCTATATGTTGTCTTTTATGTATAGGGTATAATTTCTCAACCACCTGCCTCATAAAGAATGAATCATTCACTAACTCTAAACACCATAAATACTATGAGAATGCATTGGATAACATACTCATGATACACTCATTACAAATGAACACCAGAGAATTATGAGAAATATGAATAAAAATAATGAATAAATGATTTTTTAAAGTTAGATGTAGAAATTACTACATGATTTAACCACTTTACTCATGGGTATATCCCAAGTAAAATTAAATGCATACACTTACAAATGTTTATAACAAGAATGTTCACAGTAGTCAAAAATTGAAAACTATACAAATGCCCATCAACTTATGAGTAGAGAAACAACAGGTGGCATCTCTCCACAGTGGAATACTATATTGAAAAAGAGCAAAATATGGATTACTGGGATAACATAGATGCATCTTGAAAACATTGTTGCTAAATGAAAGAAGCTAAGCAAAAAGCTATGTGTTTTATGATCCAATTCATACAGGCAGGCCCACAGAGACAGAAAGATGACTGACTGCTGACAGAGGCTAGGAGATGTGGTAGGAGGTAGAAGGGAAGTGACTCTGAAAGGTCATGGGTATTCTGAAAACAGACAGTGGTGATGATTGTGCTGTTCTGTGAATATACCAAGACCACTGAGTTTTACAGTTTAAGATAGTGAATTTTTAATTTTCTGTTATGTCAATTATATCTCAATAAATCTGTTAAAGGCAACAACCACCCTATTCCCTAGAATTGCAGCCGCAGAGGCACATGTGTGGAGGCACAGGCGGGTACAGGAACACAGGCTGTTTCAACCTGTGCTCATCCTGTCTCTCTGGATCCTTCAGTGCTCAATAAGGAAATTAAAAGGCTAAGACTGATTGTCTCTCAGAGTCTAGCTTTGCTGAAAGACTCTCACACAAACAGAGGTACAGGACAGTGAAGCAGATGAAGAAACCCTCCATACCACTTGATGTACTAAAATAACAAACACTGTAAAAAGTAAAATGGCACATGCTTTATTATTTTGGAAATAATGGGCTCAACTCATTGTTCTAACAATGAAATACTACATTCTTGCTGAAAAATGACACTAGCATAATTCATAAATTTGTAGCATAAAAAGTATTTAATGGGCTGCTTAACTATTTAAAAGATAGCTTTTCTCATATATAATTTTTTCCTTTCATTAAGCTTTTTATCTCTGACTTGTAGATTTAAGACATGTAGCTTCCTTTCTTTTCTCAATGTTTCATGAATGATTATTTTGACAATTTTGACGTGACTCGTGATTATTATACAAAAACTAGATGTAATATTTAAAAATTTTGAGGGGAAATGGTAGTCTTATGTACAGGTAAAGCAAGATTTAAAATAAAATTTTTAGTCAATGGTGAAAGACACATTTTTGTCAATATATTTTGAGCTATGTTTGAGGCAACAATTATAAACTGATACACAAATTAAAATTTGTCAGTTTTGCTACTCATGAAAATTCTAAACCAAAGTTTCATGGGTGAAGCACTTTAACCAGTTAGAGAACATTCTTTGAGGTTCTCCTGCCTCATTTGATCATTTTGAAGTGAACTTTTTGGTTGTCCTTGGGTCATCCTGAAAGATGTACCCCTATGCTGGGTCTGAATCAAAGCAGAGAGGGGTCAGTTTCAGATGACAGCACGCAGCAGTAACTCAGAATGAGTATCAGGGAAGACTGCCACTAATGTAAAGCCAAATGACAAGATGTGTGGGAAAAAAAACTAAAGACAATCAAACGTTAGTACAAGTTCTGCTGAGGATTATATAGACAGCCATCAAATAAAGTCTGGGGATAAAACAAAACTAGTATTAACTCTGATTAACATGGATTGTTGAAATGGAGTGGACCTCTATCTAGGTTTGGGTTTTTTAAGTCTTTATAATAAGCTTTATGGCTTTAATAAAGATGGGTTTTGGTTTTGTTTTGTTTTTTTTTTTTTTTATTTTGAAGGGGAGTTTAGAATTGTACCCTATTTTCTACCTTTGTTAAGCTGGAAGACTGCTGTGCCAAGTACAAGATATTGACCACCATTTAATATCAGAGGACCCTAAATTCAGTCATTTTACAGAATTGTTACTCTTTTTGGATGTTAAATATTCAAAATGGAACCTGCCAAATAATTTCTGAAGAGAAAAACTGATTTAAAACTAAGGTTAAGTTTAGAAGGACTTAAATGAGATTTTTAAAACATAATGTGGTTTACTTTGTAGATAACTCAATTCTACGGGAAAGAAAAACTATATACCAATCTTCTGAGGCACGTGGATTTCTATGTTATGCCAGTGATTAATGTGGATGGCTATGACTACACATGGAAAACGGTAGGTGAGGGCAAAGAATGCAAGCATGCCCCTGGCGGGGTATAAGATCTGCAGGCTGAATGAGTCATAGAATCCTGAGCCTTGGCAAAAAGGTTTTACTATGAAAAAATTAATCTCAATTACTGAAAATTTCAAACATTCATAAAATCAGACATAATTGTACATTAACCTTCCAAATACCCATCGTACAGCCTCAGTGATCACCAGATTTCTGTTACTATGATAAAATTCCTGAGACCAGAAGTCTAGAAAGAGGAAACATTTGTTTTACTAAATTTTTCCCTTCCCATTCTGGGTTTGACCAGCCCTCACTCTCTCAGGGTCTTGTGGTCCTGATGAGGATCAACAAACCGGCACAATACAGTTCTATTTGAATTTTGCAGAGTTTATATGACTTTTGGGAGGGAATGACTTACAAAGAAACAGCTTCTCATAATTCCATGCGCCACACTGTGATCTCTCCTGGGGTTTCAATATGGCCACCTGCAGTCTCCATCAGCTTTCATGCCCCACACCCATGTGCAGCAGCATCTGTGCATGCTGACTCACCTGCAGAGTTTGCCCAAAGCCCTCAGCCTGGATCGCTTCCTGCTCCCTGCTCCGGATTGCACGCCTCACTCCTGGAGCTCCAGTATATACTGGCTGCTAGCTCTCCTTCTGTCTTCCCAGGGTGCTTCTCCTCTTGCCCCTGGCTGACTTACTCTCCATTGGCTCACTCTTTTTGGAGGAATGAGTAATTTTCAGGCTACACTCCACCCTTTTCCTCTGGCTCATACAGATTTTCTGCCACCTCTTCTGCGAATTTCCCTGAGCCTTGGAGGGGGTGACAGATAACAAGGAAATCTCGTATCATGGCGAGACAGTGACCTCTTAGGCATCCCCATCATTCATCTTCAAGACGTGGCCACTGATCTATCTCAGTGGTGTTTCCCCTAATATAAAGACAAATGGAAGGAAGTAGACACACCTAAACAAACATGAATGTAAATACAAATGCCTAGAAGATATCCCAGTAGGTGTGCCATATTCATTAGACAGTATACTTGCAACAGCTTCCCCACTGGGGCCTGTAGCCTTCCCTGACACAGGGGGTTGGCCTGGTCTACAGCACCAGATGTGTGTTCCACCCCTAGGAGCAGGCCTTATCCAATTAGAAATTTGTTATTGAACATATCTTAGTCGAGCCATTATTTCACTGGTAGGCTTTGCTTGGCATGTCCATAGTGTGCAGCACGTGAGGTCCATTGTTGAGCAAAATCATAGGGGATCCTTTTTCCCCAACCATCTGCATAGCACCATCTGGCACTATGAAATCCACCCATCCAGAGGCATGGAGTTTTTAGTTTCTCTATTTCTTCTCCTCCCATGCTCACATAATGCAGTGTCTTCAGCAACATGGCCTTACTAAGCTTTCTAGTGTACAACCGACATTAGTGGCAATAGACTTGATTAATTTGAGGACCTCTAGGATCTCTCTGACCAACAGCCCATAAGGGGGCAACCCACCCCTGGTACTGTAGTTTTTCTTAACAGTTGTATAGTTTTGGGAGCCTCTGTTGTTATCTTACCCAACCATAAAACTCCCAAGAATCTTACAGCTATAGCTGGCTTTGTTTCTTCGGGTATCTTTTAAATGGGTTTCACATCTGTAAAACACTCAAAAGTTAACATGAGATATTAAATCAGTCATAGGCAAGGTCTAACACAGCATGGAAAGATTTTATCCACTCATATTAATTGCTTTCTCCATAGATCTTTGTTAGGTAGTTATCCCTCTAGAGTCATTCTGCATTATGGGGATCTTATATGGAGTTTCTTTATGTCTTTTACACTTACAGGTGTTGGCTCCAGTTGCCTAACCCTGGACTAAGATGGCAGGGGGGGGAGTCTCTCTTATCTCCACTGCACCTGTTGGTTCCTTGAGTCAGGCAGGCCCTGGATCTGCCTCCTGCCTGTAGCCAGGAGAGAAATGCACCTTATTTAAGTTTGGGGATCCTTAACCACCCCTGGGACATTTTTATCCTCTGAATGCCTTTTTTGAACTGTTCTTCAGGTTTTAAAGCCTTCCAGAAACTCCATAATACTAAATTTGGTTTTCTATCAATTTTTTTCTTTGAAAATTTGGGCTCAACATAAATCTTGCCGCATTTGTCTTTGAGTAGCCCAAACAGACCATTTCTTCCATCTGATCTTTTTTATATCTCTTGTAGGTTGCTCTATTATTCTACAGGCACGTTTTACATGCTGGTTTGAGTCACTTAGATCTGCCAAAGCCTCCCTTACTTTATAAAGATCCTGTCCCATTAAAGGACTTTCATTAAAGCAATCTATACCATTCTTGAGGTCCCAGTTGAATTAAGCTTTCCTTTATCTCTCTGATGAACAGTCTTATCTGGCCTAGTGAACTGGGCATCATATATTGCTTTTCTTATACCTAGTTATTTCAGTAATGCCTGTCCCTCCTTTATAGTCCTCCAGCCTCTATTAATCATGGGAGTTTCCTTTGGTGATGACCATGTATTTTTAATGCCTTGCACCAGCCATCACATTAAGGACTGCTCCCCCCCACCCCCCACATTGGCCTAGGTTGAACAGCCTATGTCACAAGGACAGATGGGTGGTTATATAAATCAGCTGTGAAGCTTCTAAAGGACTTGTACTGACATTATTTGCTCCTATGTCCCATAGCCTCAAGAGCCATGTGGTGAGGGGCTCTGATAGCTTGGTTGTAAGTCTTTCCTAGTTTCAACAGCTCCAGTGTAGAGTATTTTCTCCTAGCTACAGTACTGTTAACTTTTTCCTCTTTTTGTATCAAAGGTTGACTCTCAGGGGCAGATTTGGGTACTTTTATTTCTAGGTTGTTCCTTTTTTCACTACTGTCTTTTTTCCTGAGTCTTTGGATTTCTGGTCCGCTAACCTTATACAAGTTAAAATCTTCCATTTTTTTCTCCCTCTTAAGCTCCAAGCCTGAGACTGAATTTGCCAGTAACTCCTTAGCCTTTTCAGCATCCTCTGCCTTGGGAAAATCTTTTATTATGCAACATAGTGGCCCATGCCTCCTCTCCTTTTTCCTCTGTTGCTTGTAAGATTTTTATCTGGCTCTCTGTAATCTTTAAGGAGTTTTCAGATCCGTGTGGTGGCAGGCCCCATTTTTCAAGCAACTGAGCTATTTTCCCACATTTACAACACAGCTGTGGCCCAGGGATTTTCTCCTTTGAGTCTGTCTGAGTCTGTGTGACATGCATTATTCTAATTACATATTTCGTGATCCATTGTATGATCCACATCAGCACTGCCACTAGCTCCCTTGTTTTTCCTGAACTTGTGAAGTTTTTCATTTCCAGCACCATCTTGCCAGCTGCACTGATTTGTTTCACTAAATTTTCCCCTTCCTGCTCTCGGTTTGACCCACCCTCACTCATTCAGGGTCTTGGGGTCCTGATGAGGATCAACAAACTGGCATAACACAGTTCTATTTGAATTTTGCCGAGTTTATATGACATTTGGGAGGGAATGACTTAAAAAAGAAATGGCTTTTCTTATACCCCAAACCATTCAAGCCCCTTGCCATGCTGTTCCACGCCATTCCTTGACGGGTCGGAGTTCCAACATGGCCTCCTGCAGTCTCCATCCGCTTTCTCACTCAGCGCCCATGTGCCATCTCACCCCACAGTCATGTCTACGGATGCCAACTTGCCCCACAAAGTTTGCATGAGGTCTTACAGGCTGGCTTGCTTCCTGCTCCCCCCTCTGGACTGCGTCTCACTCCCAGAGTTCCAATACATAGCTGCTACTAACTCTCCATCTCTCTTCCCAGGGTGCTCCTCGTCTCATCCCTGGCTGGCTTACTCTCTGTTGGCTCACTCTTCTTGGAGGAATAAGTAATTTTTGGGCTACAGTTTATTTTGGCTCCTGGTTTCAGAGGTTTCAGCCACTAGTCAGTTGCATTGTTTCTGGGCCTGTGACAAGCAGATCAGGACTGGCAGCAGATGGTGAAACAAAGCTGGTGGCCTAGTGAAGGCAGAAAAGCAAAGCACAAGAGGGAGGGACCAATCTCAATCTCCCCTGCAAGGATAAACCCCCCCAGGGAGCTCAGTTTCTTCCCTAGGCCTCACTTCCTAACAGCTCCACCACCCCCTCACAAGGCCATAGGCAGGCAACCAAGCATCTAGCCCAGGGACTTTTCAGAAATGTTACAAACCCAAACCACAGTGCAACTCAAGGCTAATCTTATTTATGTCCTCTACCCACTTATACTTTACCTGTGTTATTTTGAAGGAAATCTAGACACCATATCATCATTTTTTAAATAAACATTTCCACATATATCTTAAAAATAATAGGATTCTTAAAAAGATTAAACACATTACTGGAGTGGTGGCTCGTGCCAGGAATTCCAACAACTGGGAAGCTGAGACCAGAAGCTCACTATGAGTTTGAAGTTTACATTGGCTTTATACTGAGCTCCAGGCCAGCCTTAGCTGCATAAGACCCTGTGTTAACCACCAACCAACCAGCAAACCAACCAGCATCAGCTAAAATAAACACAATACAGAGACATCATTGAAAGGCATTGGCTCATGGTACTGAGTTGAGATACAGGCTGTTTAATTTTCTTTGAAGGAGCTCAACTGATGGACATACATGAGTATGTGCATGAAATTAATTTAAAGGAAATGGAACAGGAAGCCCGAATGTAGCCTAGTGGAACCAAATGAACATTTTCTATTTGTATAGGTCAAAAATATTCTCATATTGTTTGTTCAAGCAGACATGGTTTGAGTGAGCATGATGATAAACTGTATGGAGGTGGGGTTGTATGAGCAGAATGCTGCAGAGACAGGATGCTCCAACAGGCCCCTGTGAAGGAAGGTGTGGGGATGAAGGTCAGAAATTCGACCTGACTCTCCAACTTAAAATTCGTATCTTTCCTTTAGCTGCCATGGCCACCCTGATCGCCTATTCCTGTTTTGTACATTTAGAATAGAATGTGGAGAAAGAACCGTTCTTTCCACAAGAACAACCACTGCATTGGAACAGACCTGAATAGGAACTTTGCTTCCAAACATTGGTGTGGTAAGTGTTTGCTAAAAGTCCATGAACTCAAAGTAAGTACAGGGAGGCCTGACTGAATCATGGAATAATCTAAATAATAAATTTGAGTTCAAAGTAATGCTATGAATGTTGACTAATCAGTAAAACACTTTAACTGTTCCTCCCTGCTGTTTGGCCATCTTTAAGGAAGCTGGATCAGTTCTTTTAAAAACATTTTTATTATTTTATAATTTCACACATATATACAATATACCTTGACCATATCCACCCCAGTTCTCTCCTCCCATGTTCCTGGACCCCCACTCCCACTATGATCCCCCAACCTTTTATATATATATATATATATATATATAGAGAGAGAGAGAGAGAGAGATGTATTTGCACTGAGTCCAATTAGTGCTGCCAGCATGAGCATGGGGAACCTACCAGTAACCACATCCCGGAATAAAAGTGGCATTCCCTCCCCAGCAGTCATCAATTGCCTCATGAGCCCCACCCCCTATCCATACTGGAATTATTGATTGGCTTGATCTTGTACAGATTTTATGCAGGTAACCATAGCTGCTGTGAATTCATGAGTACGATGGCCATACCAAGTCTAGAAGACAGTATTTCACAGCTCTCCTCCCCATCCTCTGGCTCTTACATTCTTTCCCCCACCCTGAGCCTTATGGGAGTTGATAGAGGTATCCCATCTGTCAGATTTAGGAGAGCAGAAAAAGGAAGGAGTTTAAAGTTTAGAAATAAGAACCAGAGCCAGACCTGCAACAGGAAAGGAATGTGCTCCCTGGATTCAGGAAACCCAGCAAAGGGCTGATAGCTGTTCCACAAGGAATGATTATCTGTGCCCTGAAGAGGAAGCAGTCTGGTCTTATATAGGAATTCTGTGTGCAGACACAGCTGCAAGGGTTAACTCCTTGCCAGGGTCTAGTATCCTTGAGGGTCTCTTTTCTGAAGACTATTTGCTCAGGCAGGCAGGTAAGTTATCTAAAACACTAAAGGAGACAGGTGGGCTCCACAGTCTCTCTCAGTCCTTGGAATGACCAGTTTATAAGGCTTGAGCAAGGCTAGACTTGAGCAAGGCCAGGCTGCCAATTTAGGGGCAGTTAGACACTTTAAGAGATTTATGGCTTTCAGAGCAGTATGTGCCTGATTCCCTATTGGCAATTTGGGTAACCTCTTCAGAGGATGGTGTGATAAGAATAGGAGGTAGAAATTAACTAGGCAGTTTAGGGTAAAAAGACCCCAAAGAGAAACAGCCAGTTTCTTGGCTAAAACGCACAATGTCCTTGTGCCTCTTAGCAACATACTCTGTTCCAAAGGCCAAAAAGGTTGAAAATATTTGGGAATTTTATCTAATCCTTAAAAGATTTTAGGGTTACCTCTTCAGGGGGGGATGTTAGAGTAGTCAAAAGCCCCATTAAAAAATAAATAAATAAAAGAAGAAGAAAGAGTTCATGAAGTTATCAGAAAAAAGTGATGGGGAGATATCAGAGGAGTTAGAGGGGAGGGAGTGGGCATGGATTTGATCAAAACACCTTATATACATGTCTGAAATTCTCAGTAAATTATTTATTTGAAAAAGAGATTTATGGCTTTATGGCATCCTCTAATGAAGCTTATGGCTCTCCTGAAATTCATATATTCTATCTCACCATCTACAACTGAGCATTCAGCAAGGACTTTTTTTTAATGGTCTTTCTGAGACAGGGTCTCCCTGTAGCCCCACCTGTCCTGGAACTAGATATGTAGAGTGTGCTGGCCTCCAACTCATAAAGATCTATCTGCCTCAGCTTCCCAAGTGCTGGGACTAAAGGCGTGCACCATCAGGCCCAGCTCAAGAACCAATTCTTTAAGGTCTCTTCTAATTTCAAAATTCAGAAACTGCATTATCTTAGAATAACAAGGAGGTGGCTGTTAGAGACCTCGCTTTAATAAATAATGTTCATCATCAGGGCATCAAAGACTAGGATAGGAAGCTGGGGTGGTCATGCACACCTTTAGTCCCAGCACTTGGGAGGCAGAGGCAGGTGGATCTCTGTGAGTTCAAGGCCAGCCTGGTCTACATAGTGAGTTCCAGGACAGCTGGGACTACAGGGAGACCCTGTCTCAAAAAGACAAAAAAAAATGACTAGGGTAGGAGAGGTTCTCTCATTTTTGATTCTACAGGTAAATATTTGTTTTGTTGCATTGAAAACCTTTTTTTTTTGTGCTTAACTATTTACTTTCTTAACAAGCTCATCCTTTCATGAATACTTTAAATGATATACTAGGAAATAATTAAAATGTAAAAAATAAAATAAAAGTGAACTGTGGGAATTTATCATCCTTTGGTTTCAGTGAGCTAGGTGCTCAGTAAACACTGATTTGGGCAGTTGAAACAGTCTTCCTTCAGGGAGGTAGATGTGAATTTACCCATTCTTCTCCCTTGACCCAACATTATATTTTACAATGTTACATTTAAGAAACAACTACAGGCCAGGAATGGTTGGTATACATCTACAATTCTAGCACTTGGGAGGCTGAGGCCAGTAGATGAGGTGGTTCAAGTCATCCTGGGCTATACAGCGTGATCCTGTCTGGACAAGAAAAAGAAACGACTACAAAACAAAACTAAAACTACATTGATGATGAAGTTTCAATTGCCTGCAATTTTGAAAATATGCACATATGACTTGGGTAGAAATGTGGTTCTCTGAGGCTCAACTCCTGTGAATCAGGGACAGAAGGAGAATTGCTGGAAGACAGGCTACCAGAAAAAGGAGATGCATATTATAACCTCTCGAATGACTAGAACTTATTCTGGCACCAAATGTCACCATCACATTTCATTTAATAACTTCTGTTGCAAATTTAAAGTAGCCCTACAGACACACTTGCGTAGTCTCAGTTCTTGCCTGGGGCCCCTTTTTTTAATAGCCTATACTGATAAGTAATTTTTAAAAACTGCGAAGATCCGAAAAACCCAAATTTATAGTGACTAAAGGAAATCTGGGGTTTTTTTTCCCTCATTTAACCAGAAACCTGGGCATGACTAGCATCTGAGATTCCCCCCAACCCTGGCAACAAGGGAGACAAGACCTAGAATGACTTTAGGAAATCTGCTATAAATACCTGACTTCAAAAGAAACACGTGGGTTTACTATACATATTAGTTTTCTGTTGCTGTGATAAGAACCAAGACCAAGGAAACTTATAGAAGGAAGAATTTATTTGGCTTACCATTCCAGGGGAGAGGCCATAAAGATGAAGGAGGCATGGCGGCAGGAAGGGGCTGGAGAAGAAAGTCAGGCATCTTCAAGTAGCATAGGAAGCAGAGTGTGACTGGAAATGTGGCAAGGTGTAAGTGTTCTCAAAGCCCACTGCCACTCTGGCATGGTCACACCTCCTAAAGCCTCCCAAAACAGTGCCACCAACTGGAGACAAACTGCCCACATACTTGGATCCTATAGGGGACATTCTCATTCACACCACCACAGTAGACATCAAAAGTGTATTTGTTTTGCCAAATTTTTCCCTTTTCCCTACCTGAGGGACCTGTATGTGCCCTCTGAGGACTCTAGAGTCTCCCAATCCTGACGTGGATTGACAAATTGACGTAAGATATTCTATTTGGATTTTACATAGCTTATATGACATTTGAGAGGTGCTGACTTACAAAAACAGGGATTCTTATAGGCCTATAGCCTTCCCTGACACAGGGGGTTGGCCTAGTCTTTAGCACCAGATGGGTGTTCAACCCCTAGGAGAAGGCCTTATTCAATTAGATATTTGTCAGTTGTACATATGTTAGTCGAGCCATTATTGCACTAATAGGCATTGCTTGGCATGTCAATAGTGTGCAACATGTGGGGTCCTTTGTTGAGCAGAATCATAGGAGATCCTTTTTTCTCAACCATCTACATAGCACCTTCTGGCACGATGAAAGCCATCCATCCAGTGGTATGGAGTTTTCACCTTAGTCTTAGTTCTGTCTTTTCTTCTCCCGCCCTCACATCATGCAGTGTCTTCGGCAATATGGCCTTACTGACCTTTCTAGTGTACAACCAACATTAGTGGCAATAGCCTTGGTTAATTTGAGGACCTCTAGGATCTCTCTGACCAAGAGCTCATAGAGGGGCAACCCACCCCTGGTACTGTAGATTTTCTTCACAGTTGTACAGTTTTGGGAGCCTCTGTTTTTGTCTTGCCCAACCATAAAACTCCCAAGAATCTTACAGCCATAGCTGGCTTTGTTTCTTCAGGTGTATTTGTTATCTTTCAAATGGGTTTCATATCTGTAAAATACTCAAAGGTTAACATTATATATTAAATCAATCTCTAATAGACAAGGTCTAACATAGCATGGAAAGGTTTTATCTATTTATATTAATTGCTTTCTCCATAGATCTCTTTTAGGTACCATAGCATGGGTAGGAAGCATTAATTTGGTTATTTCTTTACTATAGTCATTCTGTATTCTGGGGATTTTTCATGGAGTCTCTTTGTATCTTCTTATCCTTGATACATTCATGGGTGCTGGCTCAAGTTGCCTGAGCCTGCACCAGGCTAAGGAAGCAGAGGGTCTCTCTTGTCCCTGCTGCATCTGTTGCTTCCCTGAGTCAGGCAGGCCCTGGGTCTGCCTCTTGCCTGTAGCCATATCTTCCATCTCTCCACTGACCATTCCTGGCTGCTAGGGGAGGTCCTGGTGGGAAAAACTGTCTCCACCCCTAGCATAGCCTTTCTCAGGAGAAAAATGCACCTTATTTAAGTTTTGGGGATCCTTAACCACCCCCAGGACATTTTTATCCTCTGAATGACTTTTTTGAACTGTTTTTCAGGTTGTAAAGCCTTCCAGAAACTCCTTAATACTGAATTTGGTTTTCTATCAATTTTTTCTTTGCGAATTTGGGCTCAACATAAATCTTGCCACATTTGTCTTTGAGTAACCCAAACGGACCATTTCTTCCATCTGATCTTTTTAAATATCTCTTGTAGGTTGCTCCACTATTCTACAGGCACATTTTATGTGCTGGTTTGAA